AATGTCAACAAACTGTCTGGTTGTCGCCTGGCAGGTTTGAGCTCAGCACCTCGTTGCTGTGAGGTAACGCTTTCACCGCAGCTGCACTAATGAGGCGCGCCGCAGTCCTTCAAAACGAATGAAGTCAATCTTCCCCAACACGAGTTCACGAGCTCCACACGTGTCAGCTGACCGCCTGTCAGACTGGCCGAAGCGTTCCAGCTCGCCTGCGCCCGTGCAGACACTTCCAGCTGCCCGCAGCATTTCTGTCCCGACGAGGAAATTTAATTATGAAGCTGCCGAGCAGGAGTGAGGAGAGGAGTAAACGAGTTAGCTGATGGGAGTCATTCATTATCCACGCAGAACACAGTGCAGGAACATCTTCTGCAGCTAACACAGCGGGAGGACAGAGACTGTGTTATTAATGAAAAGGAGCATCTGCTGTCATCACTCCTCACACAGCCCGATGTGTCCAAACATGATATTACACTCAGCTACACACAGACACGCACACATCACACACGCGGTTCATTCTAACACTGCGTGTTCACATTCAGCCTGGTGTTTACTGCCTCCACATATACATAAAAGTTAGAGGAAGCATCCAGACTCGGTGTCTTAAACTCTTAAACTGATAAGAACAGCAGTGAGATGCTTCCTGTTGTTGGTCACATCTCAGGAGGGTGACTGACCGGCTCCTCTTTACAGAAACTCTCTCAATCCTTCAGCTTTCTGAAGGAAAGCTTCATCTGTCTGGACAAAGCCATGACCTTTATGTGCTTCTTCTTCAGTCACTGCTTTGTTGCCTTGGTGGTATGTTTTCGGTCACTGTCTTGCTGAAAGACTCATCAACTCATCTTCAGTGTTCTGGCTGAGGGAAGGAAGCTCTCGTCCAAGTTCGATCCATGCAGCTCCATCCTGCAGCCAAGTTGTCCTGTATCCTTAACAGAAAACCTCCGTGCTTGACTGTGGTTGCCGTTTGCACCGTCTTCCTTCAAACCCGGCGCGTCCAGTTGGTGCCAACGAGCTCGATGCTGGTTTCCTCTAACCACAGCACTTTCTTCCAGCCTTCTCAATCACGCAGTGTGTTACCAGTGGGGTTCATGGTGACTGTCGTCCCAACTGCCTTCAGATTATTAACAACCACCTTTCTCATGGTCATTCTCACCCTATGAGGCAAGACCTTGCATGGAGCTCCAGACACGGGGTGACTTATATTTTGTCCATTTGCAAATAATCTCACCAACCATTGTCACCCTCTCACCAGGCTTCTTGCTGATGGCCGTGTAGTCCAGCGCTCCCCCGCCACGGACGGTTTAATGTCAGGCAATATTTTCATGGAGCCTTTAAGGTCTCGTGGACAATTACAACAAAATAAAACGATACGACAAAAACTGTGTTGTTTTGTAAATATAATAATAAATAGGAATTCACTGTGTAATTGTCTAACTTTATTAGCAGCGTCCTCCTGAAATG